CCGCCCCCACGTGACCCACACGCAGCCGGTCCCCTCCGGCTGCTGCTAGGTGCATCGTCATGACCGGCGTCGCAGGGTAATTTCAACCCGTGCGATATACGATAAATAGTAGTACAAAACTGTACTAATACACACACAGATATGTATGTGTGTGTGTACGAGTACATTTTTGTATATCTCGATCTTTATAGATACATCGATGCACACACACACACACTAGATGTAATAAATAGTTCAAAATGTACAATCATTTTCATTCCGTCCAGGAAGAGCACGCACCAACTGCTGAAACTTCCTTAGCCTGACAAAGGGTTTTTGAACCCAAAAGTTTGCTTAATAACTATTCTCCAACTATTTGGGTTGGTCTAATAAAAGATACCAAAATCACCCAAGGAACCTTGTCTGCCAATCATTTTTGAGGCATTTCATTGAGTCGCTCTTAGACGGGCTTAACTGAAGTCTGGGTTTGGTGTGAGGCTGCTTCAAAAATCAAGAAATGCTTTAACTTTGACCCCGTTCTCGCTCTCAATGGCGAGTTTCAGTGAGCAATATACAATAAAGAAGACTTATTTGCAGGCATATTGGCATACTCGTTTGTATAATTTTTTAGTGTACACTAGTTTTTCAGCAAATACGAAAACATTGAGTTTCCAATATGATCATTTCATATTTAAAACCTGGCAACACTGCCACCCTGCCACCCTGCAGGATGTGTGGCACAGGCAGCCTCTGCGCTGGACGGGGCAGAGCTGGGAAGGAGAAGGTAGCAAAAATAGATTTTGTAGAGGAAAAAGCTAGTTTGTCGTCAAACAAAAGAAGATAAGCTGTCTCGTGGAAAGAAATGCTATTTTTGAGTTATCTCACCTGCTATGCTGTTTCTTTAGTTTTATTGCTGCATTTACTATATTTGCATTGTTTCAAATAAAGCTTTTAAAAATTGCATTGTTACACCTGGGATGTTTGTCATAATCATAGTACCTGTTCCTGTGCTCTTGGGGAGTTGTTGTTGGGGTTTTTTGTCCCATTCTGGTTATTAGCATAGTCTGCTGATTTACATAATTATGTTGGATAAAAGCTTGACTTGGTTTAATAACAGATATCAGATTTACCCAAAGAACCTTGTGTGCAGACAACTGGAATTTACTGCATTCTGACCATGGCTTCCAAGCCACGAGTGGTCGTTCAGCTTATCAACTATGGCTCTTCACAGAAATGGTTATCCAAGATTTTTTTTTGTATTGCACATCTTTTGTGCTGCCATACTGCAGCACACCTTCTCTTCTGTTCACTCAGAATGCGTTTGCCACGGTCTACCTAAGGCAGTATATGTTGTTGGCTAACTGACTCCTCAGTATTAACCAAAGAGCCAAAACAACACGTAGAGGTCTAAAATAGATGAGCCTCTATTTGTTTACTTAACTTTATGAAACTGGAGAGACAAGGGAGTGGAAAGCTAGAAAGCAGAAGCAACATCCTTTTTCTTCTGCTCTTAGGATGTGTTAGACGACTTGACTCAAGTTTCAAATCTGTTCCTCCAAGAGTTAGCAGAAACAACCTGTTACTCTTACTTGGAGTCTGTGGACCTAGATCTCACTACAAATTCAGATTTACAACAGTGCAATTTTCTTTGACGTTCATAAAGTTACTCACAGTTTGTACAAGAATCAGTGAGATAAAAATGAGACATGACCACTTTTATTTTATGGCATGGGTCTGGTATTGGGTACCTCAGGCTCCACTGTCTCGATGCCTAATGGGTTGCAAGCTATTAGCAGAGTTTGATTTTCTTGTGGAAGTCGTGTTACCACAAGCCAGTCTTACCCCAGCCATTGTCTTGCATTTTTGTGCTAGAGACATTGCTCAAGCTTTCACAGTTTTCATACACAGCACCCACCCAGCCTTGAATTCACAACTTCCCCACCAATTGCTCAGCATGCCCACCCCTGAGCCAAACAAGAAGACCAGTAACTGTTTCTTCCCACTCTCAGTACCCAGATGAGCACCGGACAAACATATATATATAGACACACCACCAGTACCATCCTTAGGCTAGGGACAGACATTCAAAAAGCCAGAGCCCAAATTGATTCAATCTTTCACAGTTTCATAGTTGATAGGGTCAGAAGGGACCTGAGCAGATCATCAAGTCCAACCCCCTGCCACGGGCAGGAAAGAATGCTAGGATCAAATGACCCTGGCAAGGTGATTGTCTGGCCTCTTTCTGAAGACCCCCAAGGTAGGAACAAGCACCACTTCACTTGGAAGTTGGTTCCAGATCCTAGCCGCCCTGACTGTGAAGTAGTGCCTCCTGATGTCTAGCCTGAACCTACTGTGCCGGGCTAGTGGGCAGTGACCTAGCCCAGGGGTTTTGAAGGGGTAAAAGATGATTGGAGGACTTGGAATTCCCTTTCCTCACCAATCAGGCCCCAGAGATTCACCCCTCATGTCCCCTGATTGGCCCCTGGGGTCACCTGGAGGGGGATAAAAGGGGCAGCACGGCTGACTCAGGGGAGAGACCAGTGAGGGACTATGAGGAAGGAGCTTCAATGAGCTGAGCCAGCGGGTAGAAGCAGTTGCCCCAGAAGAGCCTGAAGGAGCAGGATCTGCAGGCAGTAGTTAGACCCTCAGCAGCACGGCATGTGGCCAGCAGGACAGGCTTCCTACTGGGCTCTAGGATCCCCTACGAGAGGCTTTGGCCAGCAGGAGGATCTGAGCAGTGACCTGAGGGGTTCCCAGCTCAGCTTCCAGCTCCTCCAATCGGAGACCAGGCAGCTCCATGTGAGGCAGGGGCTCCAGGAAGGTCAAGACCCCTAGCAGCTTGGAGCAGTACCAGCACTGGTGGCTGTGTGGCAGTGTTTCATAGTTTCTAGGGTCGGAAGGGACCTGGGCAGATCATCTAGTCCGACCCCCTGCCATGGCAGGAAAGAGTACTGGGGGCCAAACGACCCCAGCAAGATGGTCATCTAACCTCCTCTTAAAAACCCCCAGGGTGGGAGCCTGCACCACCTCACTTGGAAGCTGGTTCCAGACCCTAGCCGCCCTGACCGTGAAGTAGCGCCTCCTGATGTCCAACTTAAACCTTCCCTCCGCCAGCTTGTGACCGTTATTCCTGGTCACTCCTGGTGGCACTCGGGGGAACAGGGACTCCCCCAGTGCCTGTTGATCCCCCCTGACTAGTTTATAGCAGGCCACAAGATCCCCCCTCAGCCTTCTCTTCTGGAGG